ACGAAGTACACTGCTGAGGGGAGCAGCGGGCGGGTCAGGAGAGGTCTGCCTCGCCATGTGGTCACCTCCGGGGCAGGCGGGGAACTCATGCGAAAGTGGAACTCGAACTCATGCGGAAGTGACTTGAGCTTCTCAGTGCAGTGCTTTAACCCGCTGCGCCACCAGGGAGGGCCCCATAAGTTTTTTTTGAAGCTGGGCTTTCAAGGACCCCGAGGGATGCCTGTCTGACATGCTGTAGAACATGTACGATGCACTGAGAGGTTTCTGCTCTTCACACTCTGCCTGGACATTGAGCTCCACACAGTTGGATGCTCCTCAGCATTCTGCTCTCAGAGGGTGGAAGGACAAACACCTCCTTTCTGGTGTGACAGGGTTGTAGGGGGTTTGCTGAACCCACCAAGGGAGGGAGTGTGTGTGTGTGTGTGTGTGTGTGTGTGTGTGTGTGTGTGAAGGAGCCAAGTGTGTGAAGCAGGAGGAGAAAGGATGTCATGTTTGGGAGGCCTGGGGAGACTGGTGGTGGTGGGCCTGGGCGAGGACAAAGGCAGCAGTTTTGGAAATGGGAGGGGAAGGAGCTGGCTGTGTGAGTCATTTGTTTCCCGCTCCAGTCCTGGGACTCTCAGTCAGCCCATGTTGGCAGGAGGAAGGAGCCTCACCTCTCTCAGCCACCCAGGGCCCACTTTTTCGGCAGCTCCGTGTGCCCAGCCAGGTCTCCACCTTGCCCTGCTGGTGCTGTCCCCCCGTTACCCGAGAGCCTTCTCTGCTCCCTGTGAGCCGAATGACTCATCTCCAGGGCAGGGCGTCAGGCCCCACTGAGGACGCTGAACCCACATGCAGCAGCCGGTACTGCAGGGCTGGAGGCGACAGGCAGGAGACTCAGCGCCCTGCTGGTCCAGAACTGCAGGTGGCAGGAAAGCTGGAGGAGTGGGCAGAGAGCCAGACATGAGGACTGGTCTGGGGGTGGGGGTTCTGGGAGGGCGCGTGGGACTCTACCTTTTCCAGACCTCCCAAGACCACCACTGCAGAAACCAGCCCACCACCTGTGGGGTTTAGCTCACTGAGTAGCTGGCGGAAGGAGGAGACGCTCACACCTACTGTTCTGACCTTGCTCCCAGGGTCACTTTGCAGGGGTTTGCAGCATGAGGGAAGACAGACACTAGTGTCCCCAAGCTGAAATGATGATGACTCAGGCACTCAAGTGACCAGTGATGTGAGAGATTTCACAGTGGTGCTAAATTTTTTTTTTTTTAAAGATTTCTTTATTTATCCATACAGAACTGGAGTACAGGCCAGATATGCGGAGGGTGAGAGGATTCACCAGAGACAGAGTGGGGAGCAGAACAGGCAGATCAATGAAGTATACTGCTGAGGGGAGCAGCGGGCGGGTCAGGAGAGGTCTGCCGCGCCATGTGGTCTCCTCCGGGGCAGGCGGGGATCGAACTCATGCGGAAGGGGCTTAAGCTTCTTAGTGCTGTGCTTTAGCCCGCTGCGCCACCAGGGAGGGCCCACAGTGGTGCTAAAATTTAGTGGTGAGACTGTTGTTCACAACTCAAAACGCAGATCTTAGAATAAATGACCTGGCTTTTCTTAAGGCCGGCACTTCAACAGGTTTGCTGGGCTTCATTGCAACAGAGTCCAGAGAGAGGTGGAAGAGCAGGAGAGAGCTTATTCAGTGGATTTAAAAAAAAAGATTTATTTATTTTTGCATGCAAGAATAGGGGTGCAGGTAAGCGGTGCGGGGAATGAGAGCACCCACCAGTGATAGTTTGACAATGCAAGACTTAACCCCTGTGCCACCAGCGAGGCCCTCTCTGGCGGACAGGGACCTGCCCACACGTCCCCGGGGCACGCCTGAGAGGCAAGTCACGGAGCAGGTTTGCCAGTCAAGACACTGCTCCTCAGTCGGGGTGCACAGACCGGCCGTGGCACCCAGGCAGAGAGGCCCCAGCCCAGCAGCCCTGGATTTTGTTTGTAATGTCACCTGTTTGGGTTTTACAGCGGTTGCATTATGAACACCTGCAAAATACTCCCCTGGTTTAGCATGTACTCCCATGGGACTTTGGGCAGCGCCTGTGGTGAGGGCTGTCCTGAGGCAGGCTCCTTCTTGCAGGCTGGCTGCCCTCCGAATGCCGCTGGGAAGGATGCTGCTGGCCCCTTTCATCCTCTGTTTCCTGTGGCTGATTCTGACAGTAACCTGCACAGCCCTGGGCAGTGAGTGTCCGGGGACCCCATTCCTGCTGGGTGGGAAGACCAGCCGGGTCTTCACACAGGTCTCGGCCAGGTGGGCCTGTCCCTGTCTCCCAGGGGGGTGAGGCTGTGGCTGGGCTCCCCAGGATGTTACTTGCACCCCGTATTCAGGGCCCAGGTTGAGCACCTTCCCTGGCACTGTCTCACAGGGGGCAGCTCACCTCCTGCCAGGTCCCACCTTCTCCAGGGGCCTTCCTAAACCCGGGGCCATCATGAACCTCGTGTGTCCTGTAGCGCCTTTCACCTTTTCTCTTAGTATTCTGCCTGTTCGTATATATGAGTTTTAACTTCCAGGAGGACTGAGAGAGCCTGCTATCTTTTGAGACTTAGAACTTGGCAGATGTCACCAAAAACATCTCTTGCTCCTCAGAATGGTATTGCACCCCATGGGAGCATGATAGCGGCACCTAAACAGTTAGTGTGTTACAGGACTGGGACCCAGCTGCTGAGGGGCTGGAGAGACACAGATTGCCCTGCACAGGCCTCTCCTGTGTTTTTCTCTCACAGATGCCCACTCTCTTTTCTTCAACCTCACTATCAACTCTCAGCCCAGACCTGGACTCCCATGGGGGGAAGCCCAGGGCTCAGTGGATGGAAAGCCTTTCCTTTGGTACGACTGTGACAGCAACAAGGGCACACCTCTGGGTCCCCTGGGGGAGAAGGTAAAGGCCAGCAGGACATGGACACAAGTGACCCAGACACTGAGTGAAGTGGGAAGAGAGCTCAGGATGGCCCTGTCTCGCATCACACTGGACCAAAGCATGACCAGGGGTGAGAGTCGGGGGGAGGGGCAGGGAGCTGGAGACAGGGGGCAAGAGGGTTGGGCAGCCCAGCTGGGGAGGGGCTCTGTGCCAAAACCTGAACACTGTCCCACCTTAGACACACGTGAACCTGGTGGGCAAGGAGAGGCAGGACCTGGAGAGAAGTTCCCAGGCGCCTTCCTGTGCAGAGAGGCTGACCCGCCACTAGGGGGAGATGGGGCACCACAGTGATACAGGTGTTTGTGTGGATGGCAGGTCCCCGCATCCTGCAGGCCACGCTGTCTTGTCAGTGTGAAGCACAGAGAGGCACTGGTGCATGCTGGGAGTTCAGCCTCAATGGACAGACGACCCTCCTCTTCGATGCCATGAATGGGAAGTGGTCAGCCATGGGTCCTGGAGCCAGCGGGGTCAAGGACGAGTTAGAGAACAACTCCGACTATTTCAGGAGGATCTCCACGGGAGACTGCAGTCAGTGGCTTGGAGAATTCCTCCCGCACTGGGAGGGAATGCTGGAGCCCACAGGTAACTGAGCAGACGGGAGGGTGTGGTAACTTCCCATAAAGCTCTGGGGTATGAGTATGTCATTGATGGATCATCTGATTTCTCAGTGGACTTCCTGCCTGCGGGGTCAGAGACCCCATAGGACCCCACTTCCTACTGCCGCATCCCACCACCCTCCTCCCAGGTCCCCTCCCCACCCACCTAGGACCCAGCCACCTTGCTCTGGGAGGGGCCCTCAGGCTTTCTACTTTCTGTGTTAGTTTCCTCTAACCCACTCAGAAGTCTCTTCATTGGGCCTTCACCATCTACCTCAGATAGAATTGAGCACCCCCAAATTCTGTGTCCTCAAATGGTCAACCCGTACTAAGCCTGCCAATCTGTGAGAATCAGTGGACCTTTGCTGTCTCCGTCAGCTGAATGCTGAGCTCTGTGGGGACAGGGCATGCTGCGGTCGGGGTAGCCGATGGGGTTCTCTGCCATTCTTGAAGAATCTGAGTCTAAATGACCTCGCAGCAGGCGGAGCTGGGGAGAGCGCCTTTGAGAACAGCTCTCCCTGCCACTCTCCAGCCCAAGCTTTCATTAAAGATATGACCAAAGGAACGAGAAAAGAACATGCAAGTGTGTTTTTGCTTGCATAGATGGTGACTGGAGCAAGGTTTCCAGCTGAGTGGGGCCATGAGCACAAGCCTGTAGGTCCTCGTAGGGGAGTCAGTTCTGGGGAGTTCTGTTTGTAGAACTGTTTTTTTTTTTTTAAATTATTTATGCATACAGAACTGGGGTACAGGCCAGGGCTCTACCACCATGGGGATCACTTCCGGAGCCAGGAATCGAACTCGCACTGAAGCGGCGAGGGCTGGCTTGCCCGCTAGCGTGTAGCTGAGCCCTACCGGCTACCAGGGAGGGCCTGTTTGTAGCACCAATGTCCTTCTCACTCCATGTGGAGTGGAAACAGGTGCTCTCCAAAGACTCCGGCTCTGTTCAGAGGCGGCCTCCCAACAGTGGCAATTTCCCCCCCGATCTCCGCAAGCGGGACCTGATGGAGTGGCCGTCACATGTGTCAGGAATGTGGGGGTGGACGCGCTGCCTGTGGAGAGCCAGTGCTGAAGGGGCAGATTTCAGATTTGACAGGGTTTTGGTATTTTCTTTTGGTTTCTTTTAGTGCTATCACCAAAGACCCCGGAGACCAAACAGTCCAACCGGGACACTTCAGGGATCCTCATTTCTCTCCTGTCCTTCGCCTTCATCCTCATCCTCATCATCATCACCATCGCCATCATCTGGAAATGTAAGCCACGTGCCCCTAGAGGTGACAGCAGGCTGGCTGGGTCTCAGGGAGGACACATGCTGGCCAGGACTCTGGAGCACAGAATAAGGTGCTTTCAGATTGGGGCTGGGCCCCCCTCCTGCTGTTGAGGGAGGAGGCTGGTACCCACAGAGGGACAGTTTGGTGAGGGGGGGGCAGTCTCCACTCCTGGTGGGGCAGGGTGCAGATCTCCAAGGCCTGTGGGGTAAGTTTCTAGCCCTAGCTTTCCCTTAGACCTTTTGTGGAAACGTTCTTCTCTGAGAATAGCAAGCTTTAGCTAGATGGTTGTCTTCATGCCCTTACTGTTGCTCCACTAACAGATGCTTCTCCTGTAGACTGTGAGTATGTCTCAGCAGTTTCTGCAGACCGTGAGGACGTGACGTCAGACCAGACTTGGAGGACAAATTCTGTTTCTCGAAGTAATCTGGCTCCCTGTGTAGTGGTTGCTTGTCTGCTCAGAGGTGGGTTTACATGAGTGAAGGAAGCTTAAGCTCAGACCCCTCACTGCAGGAGCCCCTCCTGTGGCCTCTGAAGCGTCTCCTGTGTTACCGTCTGTGACTTGGCCGTTTTAAAAATTAGCAGAAGTGAGATCTTTCCCATCACAGGACAGCCAGCTTCATCTGACACAACTCCCACTTTGCCTGTGGGTCCAGCAGACTTGACATGGCTGTTGCTATTTGTTTTATTTAGTTGGGAATGGTCAGGGATGTATTGATTGTGGTTTAGTGACAGTTTACACATCACATTTATGTTTGTGTAACTACTGCTGTACAGAAACCACAAGTCAACTCTGCTGACTGACTAGATCTCCCAGTACTAAGGTCCAGGGCCCAGGTGTGACATGAGAATTCACTTATCTGCTGATGTAGTAACATGTCTCACCTGGCAGAGTAGAATGGATGAAGTTCAAGGTATTTGCAAATGGCACACTGTACAGAACTGATAAAAATGCCACACAAAATATGGATGATTCTCATGGGTAAGGTGTTGGAATGAAAATATTAGACCAAAAGAATATATATTTTGTGATATAATTTCTGTAAATTTCACAAATAGGCAAATTGGCCTTGGCAATGGAAGTTTACAGTAACGGGTAGTGATCTAGAACATGATTTGACAGATGATTGTGCAGGTGGCCTTCATTAAAGAAATATATCCAATGGCCCTGCCTGGTGGTGCTGGCAAGCTGCTGCCAGCCACTGAGGCATGAGTTTGAGATTCTCTGCCTCACTAGGAGCTAATTCATGTGGCACAGCGCATGTCTGCAGTCGCCCCACTGCCCCCGGCCAGCACTAGGGGGAGCCAGTGAGTAATAGATCTGCCTGTTCTGCTCCCTACTGTGTCTATGGGGAATCCCCTTCACCCCACACCTCTGGCCTCTACCCCAGTTTTTGTGTGCACAAATAAATAAAAATAAATCAAACCATTTAAGATTTGTAAAATTTACTTAGAGATACTACATTTTTAATAGTTTAAAAACATTTAAGAAGGTATTTCAATTTCATTAATGTTTTGACAAATGGCTAGTTCTTTTTATCAGGAAAATGTTCAATTATTAAATTGTATTTTGTTAAGTTATAATAAAAAGTAATTAATTGAATTATAACTATTTTAGTTTCCTGAAGATTTATTTATTTATGCACACAAGAACTGGGGTGCAGGCCAAAAGCACAGGGGTGAGAGTGGGGAGCAGAACGGGTAGATGTAGTGAAACCCACTGCTGAGGGGAGCAGCGGGCGGGTCAGGAGAGGTCTGCTGCGCCCGGTGGGTCACCTCCTGGCCGGGGATTGAACTCCCACTGCAGTGGCTGCAGAGAGCTTCATAGTGCTGCATCTTAACCCCTTGCGTCACCAGGGAGGCCCTGTACTTTACATTTTTCTCTGGTGGGATTCACACATACACTCTCACCTACAGGAATATAAACACACCTCCTTGGGGAGAGCCTCCACTGTGTCACGTGGCCTTCCCTTCAGAAGCAGGTCTCGCCTGAGGAGAGAGAGAACTTCCTGGGCCCTTGCACTGTCCCGCTGTGCTGTTTGGCATTTCTTGATGAGCAGTGCTACTGATATAAGAGTGCACATTTTTATCGTTTAGAGAACAGCAAGCTTCAGTCTGCCTGTGTGTTAAGACGGGGACTGCAGTGCACAGGGAGCTCACCCGGTGTTGGTGTGCACCTGCGTAGAGTGTGACGCATCAGACCCGCCCTGGTCCCTGGAAGGCCTCTGTAGGAGGTGGGGTGTTTGCAGCAGGGCACAGGGCATGTCTGGGCTAGCCTTGGGGGTGGGGCACAAAGGAGGAGTTGCTGCAGGCCTGGGGCGCTGGCTTTCACCCCTGTGCAGGGGCCACAGCAAGCAGGGGAGTAGGCTGTATTTTCTGTAGCAGAGGGGGTGGGGGGCGGGATGGCAGGCAGAGTGCTGGTGCAGAAACCAGGCCTCGACAGTGGGGATCCAGGAGGCCTCTATGGACACCTGGGTTGCTGACTCGGGGAGCTTCTCTCTGGCCACCTGAGTCTGTCTGAGGGGGGCAGCTCCAGGGTGGTGTTCAGTGGAGGAGTGTACCCCCACTCTGCCGGTGCCTTGGGGAGAGCTTCCCACTGTCTCATGGTCTTCCCTTCACAGGGCTCATCACGCCTGAGGAGAAACAGAATTTCTGGGCCCGTGATACCTCCTGCTTTGTTGTGGACGGCACTTCTTGATGTTGCTTTTGCTAATGTGACAGAGGAGAGAGAAGATTGATCAAAACTAAATGACAAGGCATCAGAAGACACCAGGCGGGGGGATTAGGCCCAGGACAGCGGCCCCAGAATCTAGCACAAGCTCTTGTTTCTCTCTCTCTCTTTTTTTTTTTTTTTTTGGTGAAGAAAATTTTTATTTACACACTGTATCTAGAAGCAGAAACGTAAATTCTTGTACAACTAATTTCCAAAAATGTGCAAGAAATTACTATAATTTGTTTACAAACTAAAACACATATTAAAATCAATGGACTTTGGGTAATTCATTCTGTGGTGTTCTCAGCACAAATGGTACACACCTGATTTGAAACATACGGAATAAAGTGTAAACTACAGCAATTAGGATTGCAAGTATTAATTCCATGGCACTCCAACTATATATAAAATTTCTTTAACCCAATATTGTTTCTCTCTTTTTTAAAAGAAGATTTATTTATTCATTTATACAGAGCTGGGAACAGGCCAGAGGTGCAGGGGCAGTGAGAGGATTCACCAGAGACAGAGTGGGGAGCAGAACAGGCAGATCGACGAAGTACACTGCTGAGGGGAGC